GCCCCGGCGTCCCAGGGGATCCCCACCGGCCCGGCTCGCTGACTCATCGGCAGGAGGGGCCACCGTCCCCAGGCCGCAGGCCGCCCTCAACGCCCTTCCCAGCTGGGGCCCAAAGGCAGAGGGGGGGGGCTGCCTCCTGCCCTGCCCCGGCGTCTCCACCCAGGGGATCCCCACCGGCTCCCGGGACACGCTCCGCAAGGCCAGGAGCCGTGGGGATGGCTCAGTCCCAGGTGCCAGCGGGATCGGCATCCTTGTGGGGATGTGCTGGCCGCCCGGGCTCTCCCGAATCCCGGGGAGGAGCCGTTCTGGCCAGAGCCCTGCAGTCACATCCAACAGACTCAAAGGTCCGGCTCCACGGGGGCCAGAGCGGCTGAAGCCAGCCTGCTTTGTCCCAGACCATGCAAAGAGGAGGCTGGGAGTCGCTCTGGATGCAAGAGGCCACGTGTGGCACGGCACGAGCTTTGTGCACAGACACAACCAGTTCTGGGATGCATCTGGGTCCGCCTCAGGTCATGCACACCCGGAGCCGCTCTGCATTTAAGCCAGATTTGGGTCCCGGCTGTCCCGTCTCAGCATGAGGAGCCAAGCCGTGGCACGGCACTGGCCGGCGGGCACTGGCGAGCTGCGGAGCGGGCACGCCGCAGCCAAGCGCAAGCAGCAGGTTAGCAGAGCTGGGTTAACCGGGGTGGGTTAAGCAGCCGCAGAGGCAGGTTAGTCGCGTTCTCTACCTGGTTGGCTACAACGGAGGGCACAGAGGCCTCGTGCTGCTCCAGCAGCTCCTTGTTCCTCTTCTTCTTGCCCTTGCCCTTGCGCTTGCCTTTCCCCTTTCCCTTCTTGCCCTTCCTACGTGGGGAGGTGGTGGGCTCCGGGCCGCTCTGCAAGGGGCAGCGCAGACACCGGCGGGGAGAGAAACACAGGCGTCACGGGCCCTGGCAGCTCCCCCCACGGTGACACCATGCCTGGCAGCATCCGTGTGGGCTGCCCGGCAGGGGGGGGGTTCCCGAAGGTCCCCCCAGCCTTTCCCCTTCCCAGCTTGGGTGCCTACCTCCTCCGGGAAGGGGGCCAGGAGGGGGTAGAGCAGGGGCTGGTCGCAGCCTGGCATGTAGAGCTGGCAGTAGGAGCGGGCGGCCTCGGGGTCGGCCACGATCAGCAGCTGCTGGACATCACCCTGCAGCAAAGGAGAAGCGGGGAGCATGAGGGAGTGGGTTTTCTGCCCCCCCATATCCACACCCCGGGCCGGTTAGTTGCCCACGCACACCCCGGACATGCGTGCAAGTGCCGGTGCTCGTGGCCAGCTCTGTCTGGGCGGCAGCCGGCTGGTCCGTGGGTGGCTCGGGACAGCCAGCGTGGACACCCCCTCAGCCGAGCGGAGGGTGCAGGGGGCAGCGAGGGGACAAAGGGACCCTTGTCTGCCTGCTGGGGACAAAATGGGCAGGGGGGGGGCCAGCCCCACTCGCCTCGCTGCCTCAATGCCGTCTCTTTGCCCATGGCCCCTGACATTTGCAGCGGGCAGGAATGCAAGGAAGGGAACCAGGTCACCCCATGGGGACGGGGACACCCCATGGGGACAGAGAGCAGCCCCCAGTGCAACTGGGGCCTCTACCGACCGCGGCAACTGGGTCCCCCCCTTCCCCAGACCCCTCGCTACCAGGGCAAGGGTGCTGCGGGACAGCCAGAGGCTCTGGCACAAGGATTTGGGGAGGGACTCACCTCGAACACCTCCTCGTCCAGGAGGCGGGCCCCAAAAATCGTCACCCCCTCGGTGCTAACAAGGGGCTGAGGTCCCCGCTCCAGCGGCAGCGTGGCGAGGAGGTGGCAATCCACCAGCAAGGAGACGTTGGTGCCCTCCACGGCCAGCGCCACGCGGTGCCACCTGCGGAGACGGGACTCAGTCGCAGCGAGAGGGGTCGGAGAGACCCCCTGTCACCCCCCGACACTCACCTGCCGTCGGCCAGGTTGACCCTGCGGAAGACAGGGTACTGCTCGGGGGCCGGCCGCCCCTCCTGGTCCTCGTAGAGGAAGACGGGTGAGAGTCCGATCTCCATGCCCAGCTGCTGCACACCTCGCTCGTCGTAGATGGAGAGCAGGAAGGCTTGTCCTCCGCGCCGGGCACGCACTGTGGCCAGGATGGAGAAGTCCTCGGGGAAGGAGCCATCTGTAGCAGGGAGGAAGGGGGGCAGCCATCAGGCTAAGCCCCCCCCCGCTGAGCCCCGAAAGGGGATGCTCGCCCTTGGAGCTGCTCGGTTTGCACCCTGTGATGGGCTCGGTGGCCCCGCGGCCGCCCAGTGCCGTACCGGGGAAGAGCTGCCGGGTGGGTGCGCTGAGCTGGGTGCGGTTGTCCACGCGGAAAGCGAAATCGGGGTCTTCGGTCCCCGGGCGCTGCGGACAGATCCCGGCGGTGACGGAGATGCCATCCCGGCCATCCTGCATGCCCAGCGTCTGCAGCACGTCCACGGGCAACGCTGCGGGGCGAGCGGGGACCCTTCAGGGGATGGGGACCCACCGGAGACACCCCGGCTGTTCTCCATGCCTCCAGCTGGGGACCGCAGCCGCATCCCCATCCCCCTGCCTGCCTCCTGCCAAGCCAGGCCGGCCCGGTGCCAGGCAGCTGTGTGGGCCCAAGGTCCGGTCCCGCAGCCGCCAGATTCCTTCACCGCATTCCTCCGCCCCCGGCCCTGCTCTGCACCCCACGGCACGGGTGCACCCCGCGGGGCGGGAGGGCTCCCGTCACCCAGGGAGACCCCCGTCATCCCTAAGCGCAGCCCGGCTGCACCCAACTGGGGGGGAGAGGGTTGGGGGTGCTGTGCTGCCCAGGGAGCTGCTGGGGGTCCATGCCACCTCTCCTTCCACCCCACAGCCATGGAGACCCCCAGGACTGCCTACGTCAACCTGGAGAGAGTGGACACCTCGCAGAAGGTGGGTGCCACGTCCCCAGGACCCTGATGCTGTCCCCCCACCCGCTGCGGTGGGGACAGTCCCCCCCCCATCTCACCCCCATCTCTCCTCTCTCCCCCGATCACAAA